TTCTCATAGGATAACGGACTTAATCTCTTAGGCTAAAAGTTTTCACAGTTTTTGATTTAAGGCATTGCAATTAAATCTCTGTAAGAAACAAATTTTTTGTCTTTTAGCGGTCACAAAATTAAATTTTACTAGCAATTTAATGGCGCCCTATTTCAAGTAAAGATTGTAGTTTTTGATGACTTTCTTTTTCGTACATTTGAAACAATAACAACAAAAAAGGTTGCAGACTTATTTTTAGAAATTCCACACAAATTTGCGTCCATACAGTTTAGCCCGTTTGACGTTTATTGGATACACACAAACAAACCAAAAACAGACAAACCAAAGATTATTAATATAGAATACCAAATTCCATGACTTACTTACTAAAATTAAAATTTTAGTAAGTCATAAAAAGCTGAAGATCTTAATTTTATCGAGACACCTTCTGGATCCACCATGTTAGAAAAGTGGTATTTCTAAATATCAGATTTCCGGTTCAGGTTTAGTGGATTTAATGACATTTAAAGTATAATAGGATTTTTTTAAAGATAATTTACAAAACAGAAGAACAACAAAATAAGCTTAGTGTCAGAAATTAAATTCTTAATGTCAAGTCAATTATAATAATAACTAAATCAGGAATTATAAAATGTTTGTATTTCTCTAGAGTAATTACCGTTATAAAAGAAAAAAGAATCAGAAAATATCAAACTGGAATAACAGAGGCGTGTAGTATTGAAACACCCCGTTTTTGGTTCACCCCTAGATAAAGAAGTAAAAGGGTGCTGCACCTATTACCAAACTTTCTGAACAGACAGAACCCTTGACAGATGTTTTAGCCCAATGAAACCCCTCTCTCAAGAAATACAGTGATAATCAGAAAACTCTGGGATAGGAAGATGACTATTAGAATCAACTTATAAATTTAAAAAGCCCATCAGCACGAGACACAACAATTTTTCAGTGTAAACAGACCCATTTACCAATTGTAGGGTTTAATGTCAAGAAAAACTATAATTTGCTTTGTAAAAACATCTTTAAATTATTGCCATAATGTCGTCTTCCTATTTCAGTGATTTCTGGTTATATAAAATTAATTTAACTATTTAATTATTTAATTGATTAAAATTTAAAACTAAAATTAATTAGTGCCACCTAAAAAGTGCAAACCTAGCTAGCGTGCCTATTTTATCGCTGCTGACGTTTTATTTAATAATGTGTATTTTTGGGGACTAAAAACCTAAATATATTTATGTTACTAGATATATTTATCTACTAAATACAATATTTTAGAGTTCGGTAAAACAGGTCGAAAAAAGTATCGCAAAAAAGCCTTGACAAATTTAGAATTTTCTTATTAAAATATTACTTAAAATTATTTGCTGCAAACCTAAAAAATCACTAAAAAAAAGTTTTTAGAGGTTTTCCCTCTCATTTTTTTTCATCAAACTACTCCTAATTTTATTCTTAGAAGTTCAAAAGTATATATGATCGTCTTAGAAAAAGAGCAATGAGTGTGGGAGGTTAAGTTGAGTTGAAAACTAAAATTGGTTAAATTGGATTAATTGAAGAGGATTGCGTTTTCCACAGCGGGCTAAAAAATTCTTTTAAGAGGGCTGCAGAAGGAGTTTATGTGCAGGGGGGGGGGGAGTTAAGGACATGAAATGATGCTAATTTTGCCTCCCTAGTAGTCCCTAGAATTAATTCTGAGATTTCTTGTTTTGATACCTCTCCCCCCCCTTTCTCCTCCTCAATTCTCCCGGAACACCCCGATTGCTAGCTGTTTCGGGGACAAAGGACAAAAGACTGATATAAAACTTGAATTATAAATATGGATTGGAGTTGTCAAAAACATATTTCAAATACTTTAAATTATGATGTTGAGTGCAGCTTGCCAGCTATGGGCGTGGGCTTGTCTACGGA